AGCCATGCAAAGAATGACGTAGCCCCAGCCTGACCATTTCATTCCACCTGCAGAAACAATATATGTCCAGGGTCTCAAAAACCAACCCACCCTGCTTCCAGTCAAACCACAAAAGAACAGTTGTAACTGTTGTGGTTTCCTGTTAACTACCTTTGTGTGTGTCTGTGTATGCATGAGTGTGTGTACACGCGTCCCCCAGCCCCTCTACACGTGGTCAGCCTTCATCCTGCAGAAAGGTTGATGCCCTCTGCTGTTCCAATAAAGCAGTCTCAGCCTGTTGAGATCCAGTTTGCCTGCTTCTCTGTCCTCTGTCTCTCTTTGCTTTTTCTTTTTTTTAATTTTTAAAAAATTTTATGTGTAGCCGGGCGTTGGTGGCGCACGCCTTTAATCCCAGCACTCGGGAGGCAGAGGCAGGCAGATCTCTGTGAGTTCGAGGCCAGCCTGGTCTACAGAGCGAGTTCCAGGACAGCCTCCAAAGCCACAGAGAAACCCTGTCTCGAAAAACCAAAAAAAAAAAAAAATTTATGTGTATGGTCATTTTGCCTGCACATATTGAAGGGACCAGTGTGCTCCCCCACCCATTTTAGCAGTCACGACAGGCTAACATGTGCTCTCCTGACCTTGCTGCTCCTGTTCTAGTCACTAGGAGGTCAGATGTCCTCCTCATGGCAAGGAACCAATTAGAAGCTAGCTGGCTGGGCTGTGCTTTATGGACAAGTGCACAAAAGTGATGTGCAGAGCGTAGCAACTGCCCTGGGAGGGCCTATGGGCCATAACAACCAGTTAACCAATCAACACAGGGCAGGTCGTCCAAGCCTGGAAGCGCACCAAGCCTGAGACTGATGCATACCCCTAGACATTCCCCTTATGATGCACTATAAAATCCCTGTCTCATGATTTCTTGGAGTCTTTTCTCCAACCTTCCACTGCAGAGGATGGATGAAGGAACAGAGCTAATGGGGTTAGCTCGTTAAACAATTGCAATAAAAGATTCTTTGCCGGCTGGAGAGATGGCTCAGTGGTTAAGAGCACTGACTGTTCTTCCAGAGGTCCTGAGTTAAATTCCCAGCAACCACATGGTGGCTCACAACCACCTTGAATGAGATCTGGTGCCCTGCGCTGGCATGCAGGCAGAAGACTATATAAACAATAAATAAAAAAAAAGATTCTTTGCTTTTGTATCGAAATGGGCCTCTTGGTGATTTTGGGGTTCAGAATTTGGGCACAGCAATATATCTGTGAGCCACATACATGTAGTACCCTTGAAAGCTAGAAGAGGACATTAGATCTACCGTGGTTGGTGGTGCAGATGGTTGTTAACCATCATGTGGATACTGGGAATCAGAAAACAGGTCCTCTGCAAGAGCAACAAGTACTCTTAGACCCTGAGCCAACTCTCCAGCCCTCTTTATTTATTTATTTATTTGTTTTGTTTGTTTTGAGACAGGGTTTCTTATGTAACAACCCTGACTGTCCTGGAATTCACTATGTAGGCCACTCTGACCTGGAACTCACAGAGATCTGACTGCCTCTGTCTCTTGATTCTGGGATTAAAGGTCTGCTTTATTTTTCTTTTTTCTTTTTGGTTTTTAGAGACAGGGTTTCTCTGTGGCTTTGGAGGCTGTCCTGGAACTCGCTCGGTAGTCCAGGCTGGTCTCGAACTCAACAGAGATCCGCCTGCCTCTGCCTCCCGAGTGCTGGGATTAAAGGCGTGCGCCACCAACGCCCGGCGGGACCTTTCTTTATAAGGCATTTCACTTTCTCTTGTGTCTGTGTCATGTCTGAGCACAGTGAAGTTGGTCATCCATGGAAGACTTTATAGGAAAGAAAGCCAAAACTGGCAGCAGGCGTCTGTGGTGGCTTGAATAAGAATAGCCCCCGTAGGCCGGGCGTTATATATATATGTACACCAGAGAGGCGGTGATGAACCAGCCTGCCTCCATTGTACGCTTGAAAGCCATCTTACAATAAAGACAAACTAGACTCATCCTGTTTATAATTAAAATATCTATTTCTCAAGGATTGTGCTATGCCCCATCTGTAACCCTATCTCCAAATGATTTTGTACTGTCTGTTTCAGGAAAGGGCAACCATAATTTCATTTCAGAAAGTTACTATGACCACCTTGTTATGACTGTCTGTTTCAGGAGGTTGTTGTGACCAACTTGTTATACTGGGGTTATGTTCCTGTACCCAACCCTGCCTAGCTGCCTGCCAAGTCCCCCACTTGGAAACCCCCTACTCCTAAACTATAAAAGTCCTTATCCCCACCCATCCAAGGTTGACCTCTCGACCCTGCTTTGGGGGGGGGGCGAGGTCCGTGTATACAAATAAAAAACAAAAAACTTGCTTTAATTAATTGCTTGCTTTAATTTGGCCATGATGATTTGGATCAGTGGTCTTTCTCCTCACATCTTGGGGATTAACAGAAGGATAACGAGATAGGGAACTAGTCATAGGCCCGAGATGGTATCTGATGATATTCTTAGTTCTTGGATCTGTGGAAGATAAGCTAATAGCTTATAAGGTTTTTATTTGTTGCCACAAGATGTTAATTCTAAGTTAATAGCTTCTAAGAGTTGTTTTTTAAATTTTATTGTCATGAAGTGTTAGTTCACTTATAGAGTAGAAGTTCTGGAAGGGTAAAACTAGCCTAAGAAAAAGTGATTAGCCTCTGAACCTTGAATTCTTTTTTTTTTTTTCCCGAGACAGGGTTTCTCTATGGCTTTGGAGGCTGTCCTGGAACTAGCTCTTGTAGACCAGGCTGGTCTCAAACTCACAAAGATCCTCCTGCCTTTGCCTCCCGAGTGCAGGGATTGATGAACCTGGAATTCTAATCTCTCTGCAATGCTGAAATTTCAGTCAGCCACCAGTCTCTGCAGACACAGACACTCCTAGAAGGAGGGTTTTTGTTCACAGCCAGACACAGCTTCTTTTCTGGATTTTTTTTTGCTTACATCTGCATAATTAGTTCTGTGCCATCCTGAGCCGTCTTTGAAAAAAATAAATTATAAAAGGTGGCTTATTCTCCAGTCAGGGTTTGGAGAGCTCTCAGGCAGAAAGGTATGTGTCACAGAGAATAGTTTCATCCTAAACCAGTGGTTCTCAACCTTCCTGATGCTGCGACCCCTTAATGTTCCTCATGTTGTGGTGACCCACCTGCAACCATAACATTATTTTCGTTGCTACTACATAAGTGTAGTGTTGCCACTGTTATGAATCGTAATGTAAATCTGATGTAAATGTAAAGACCAGATAGTTTAGGTAGCGCCAAAACCCTGTAAAAGGGTCACTGGATTCCCCCTAAGGGGTCTCTGACCCATAGGTTGAGAACCTCTGCCCTAAACTATTTCTTTTTACATATATTCCAAGAAGCACTGGCTCTGCTTCAGAGAAAATGGGCCATCCGAAGGCCACCATTCCAGCCCTCATGATGGTACCAGCACTGAGCAGGAATGGGACAGAGGAGCTGGGTGGCAGTCAGGTGACATTCCCCCAAGAATCACCCTGCCCCAGAGAGACAGAATGTGACAGTAGCTTTCTGGAATCCAGGAAGGCTTGGAGTTGGTTTGGTGGCGGACTTCACATGAGTCCAATGTCCCCACAAGTATATAAATAGCCAGTTCCTGTTCTTTCTGCCCCTCTTTTGTTCAGGAGCTGCTTTCCACGAACCACTTCTCGCCCGCCCAACCATTCTCGTCCTAAACACGCTATCCAATCTGCAGGAGCTGTACCTGCAGGTGTGTGTGTTAGAGCAACGCCTGATGATGGTAGCCCCACCTGCCGGCCGTGGACCCCTCTTGGCGCAGGGCCAACAATGGCGGAAGTGCCTGCCTTGCCTTCCAGGCTCCTTCCGACTCTTAACTGTTCTTTGGGCTCCTGAAATGCAAATGACTAATGGCTTATTTGCAAGTCAAAAGAAGTGTACACCAGGTGGGAGCTAGATAGAAAACAATCGGGATCCCTAAGTGGGTGGGGAGTACACTGTGTGTGGTTCTTAGGAAAAGCCTGTCTGAGCCACGGTCACCAACTGAAAAGACTCCAATATACAGCGAGGAAAAAATACTGCAATCCGGGTTTACAAACAACACGCTTACTTAGGCATGCTAAGCAACGCACACACAGACAATGTTGGACAGACACTGGGAGGAGGCGCCTAAAAGTGACGGGGGGCGGGGTTAAATAAAAAAAGAGGACTCTCAATTTTTATTTTGTGAATATGTTACACAATCATATATGTACGGCACGACCTTTTTCTAAAAACAAACAAACAGCAAACAAAGCCCAAAATAATCCCAAACACTATTTCTAGAATAGTTTTAGATTCATAGAAAAGATTCGGAAGAAAGACACGGAGTGACCATAAACATGGGTTTTTCTCCTGCCATTAACATTCTAGTGTTTTTGCTATAATGAATGAACCAATATCGGTGTATTATTATTATTAAAATCTATACAGTTTTCAAATGCCATTGGTTTATTTTTTAACCTAAATGTCCTTTCCCCCAGGATCCCATTCGAGATGTCACATTATTCAGTTTTCTTATCTCGACGTGACATTTTCTCTCTGGCTACCCTTGTTTTGATGACCTTGACAGTTTTGGACAGTCGTGGAGTTTCTCAGCTGGGGCTCGTCTGATGGTTTCGCACGATTACACTGGATCACGTGTAGCACTGATAGGAAGACACCGTATGACAGAAAATCAACATAATTCGTCACTGCTGACGGTGGCCCGCCCTGGTCACCCGGCTGGGGCCGTTGGTAATGTTTTCCGTTATGAAGTTTCCTCCTGCCGTACACGTGGTGTGACCTTTTAAGGTTTTATTCACTTGTTTTTTAAACATACGGTCGGGCGAATGTCCCACTCTCTAGAGCGGCTCTGCGCCGCGAGCAGGCGCCGGGCTTGCCACTGAGCCACGCAGGAACGCGGGACCTCACCTGTGGGCGTGGTCCCACGCACTCCGCCCCTCCAGAGAGGCCCCACCCCTCCCACGTGGCTCCGCCCCGCCCCGCTTAAGGCGACCACACCCGGAGAGTTTTCCGCCCCGCGGGCTCCTCCGGCGGTGCGCAGACGCTCGCGGGTCGAGATCCGGGTAAGCGACAGTGGGAAGGAGCTGCACGCTCGTCAACCTCAGCGACCGGTGCCAGGTGAGTGAGGGTCCCCGTGAGCCGCCTGCCGGTGCTGGGTGTTGGTGCTCGGCGGGGGGGTGCGAGAGTCCCCCGGGGCCAGGACCCGGAGTTGAGCAGGGTCTGAGCAGGTGAGCCCGAGGACCTCAGCGAGTGCGAGCTTGGGCTTGGTTCAGGTCTTCTCAGTTCAGTGCGCTTCCGGGAGAAGCTTGAGCCGAGCCCCGCCGAGCAAGTAGGCTGTCTTTGGGAACTTTGCTCCGGAACTGCAGGGCGCGGGTTCCTGGACCTGCCACCCAGGGTTTACATAAGGCACGGTTCCCCAGGGGTTCAGAGAATGCGGGATCCAACCAGGATCCCTTCGGCCCGAGGAACTCTTGGGCTTGGCTCCCCAACTTCCCGTGGGCTCTGGCCGGGCTCCTAAAGACCTAACTAGATAAGAAACAGATCTGGGGGACGGATAGCTCAGCTCAAGCTGGGGATGCCTCTCACCGCCCGATGATCAGTGGGTGTCTATGGAGATTGTGTTTCTGGGACCCTCGAGGGTCAGCCCAAGTCATCTGCTCCCTTCCTAGGCCTCCACTAGCTGCTCCCGGCTGCCTTGCCTTGCCCTGCTTCTGAGCAGGGATACCCCGGGGCTACACTGAAAGAAGCTACGAATACAGCCCTACACAAAATCAGTAAATTTAACATTATGAGGTTTTTTTGGGTGGGGGCTAGTAACTCAATTGAGCTGTTGTCAACTGTAAACTTGGTAGATGACTGTGTGTCATTGTCAAAAGGTTGGACGTGTCTGGAACCTTGTAGGGCAGGGTCAGCTGTCTTGATCACCCTCAGCTTGCTTTCATTATGCTCCCTCATTATTTCCTTGCTCCAGCCAGTTTTTTACTGAGAATTCCAGGAGGATTAACAACTCGGTGCTTGTCTGTGCCTAGTGTTCTCTAACCAGGCAAGCCAGGTGAGGGAGGGTTGTCTGTTGCTCTAACACAGAGTGCCCACTTCGGATGCCTATGAGTCATTCTATTTTTACAGTTTTTTTTGTTTTGTTTTTTGTTTTGTTTTGTTTTGTTTTTGTGTAGCCCTAGCTGTTCTAGAGCTTGGTCTGGAGACCAGGCTGGCCTCAAATGCAAGTCTCCAGAGTGCTAGAATCAAAGGTGTGGGCCACTACACCCAGATTACTTTTACACATTTTTAAGCATATTGTATTTTGTGTGTATACGTGTTTTTGCCTGCATGTATGTCTGTGTGCTATGGTGGGTGCCTGGTGCCCTTGGTGTCCTTGGAGGTCAGAAGAGGGCACTGGATACCCTTGGGCTGGAGTTCAGACAGTTATGAGCAACAAGTGCTCTTAAGTGCCGAGCCATTGCTACAGCCCCTTGAGGTTTATTTGGGTTTTTCTGGGGGGAGTGGCTCTGTGTTTGTCTGTCTGTCTGTCTGTCTGTCTGTCAATCATCTATTTTTAGGGACAGGGTCTCTCCTGGAACTTGCTGTGTAGATCAGGCCTGCCTGGAACTCAGGGATCCACCTGCCTCGGCCTCTCGAGTGCTGGGGATTAAAGGCGTTCACAATCACCATGCCCAGCAAGTGAACGCTTTTTTTTGTTGTTGTTGTTTTGTTTTTAAACCAGCTCCACAATGCTCGGGTACTGACCAGTTAGAACAGGTAGCAACTGGTGCCTCACAGTGGGGCGATGCTGGAATTAGGTTACCAAGGTAAGGCCTGGCATGTAAGCGGTGAAATGCGGCTGCCAGCGGACTGCACCAGTGGCCGCAAGAGCAGAGGGAGCAGCCAGCTCGAACTGCTGTGTTAGCCCACACTGCCCCGCCCTCTTTCCTTCGTGTGGCCCATTTCTTACTCACAAGCCATTCCAAGGGCTTCTGCTCCCCGGTAGGAGGGACGAGGCATGCCCTCTTCCTCCACTTTGTCATGGGCCCAGTCCTCATGACCAGGCGTCTCGACCTTGTGACATCTCAGTCTTTGGAGCACGGAGACTGTTTCTGAATCATCTTAGGCTTTAATTTTTTAAAAAATATAACCAGTTGGTCAATGCTACATCTTTTTTTTAATATTTTATTTATTTATTTATTATGAATACAACATCCTGCCTCCATGTCTGTCTGCAAGCCAGAAGAGGGCACCAGATCTCAGTGCAGATGGTTGTGAGCCACCATGTGGTTGCTGGGAATTGAACTCAGGGCCTCTGGAAGAGCAGCCCGTGCTCTTAACCTCCGAGACGTCTCTCCAGCCCCATTTTAGTCTTTCAAAGTGCCCATGATGAACCTTTCTTTTAAAGTGTACAGGAAATGTCGGGTGGGTGGGAGGCAGGCAAGAGAAGTATAATGTCTTTTTTGTGTCTTGAGTATGGGGACTATAGGGCTGGCGGAGAATAGTGGGAGAAGTGCACCCAGACAGAGGCGAGGGCGGAGCCTGAGAGTGCTGGGTATATGGAGCTTCACACCTGTAATCCCAGGACCCAGGAGGTGGAGGCAGGGAGATCAGGAGTTCAAAGCCAGCTTCTGATACAGAATGAATTTGGGGCCAGGGAGACGACGACTCAGTAGGTGGAAAGGTGACGTTCGTAGGCTGTCCTCTGGCTTCTGTACCCATACAATGGTGTGCACTCTCCCCCCAATCCCCCCAGTACACACATGCAGGCAAAATTGGTAGATGTAATTAACACTGAACGTCCTCCTGGGGTGGGGGCAGGGCAGGGGGGGGGATACATAGTGAATTGAGTGCACTCTGGGCTACGTGAGACCTTGGCTAAGGCACCTGGCAGCCTTTGAGCCTTCCAGCCTTCCTATCTAAGTTTGAGTTTGAATTTTCACATATCGGAAAGAGGGAACTGACTCCTGTAAGTTGTGGCTTACCCATGCCCGTGTGCGCACGCGTGTACACACACAGGCACACACGAGCGGACAAAATTTAAATGCTTAAAACAGAAACAAGCAAGCTCAGCTGTTTGAGCGCCTTTTGCAGCCATGACAAGGAAAAGAGAAAGGGCCTTCTCAGTTCAATTGCTTTGTCTACAAGGCTTTGATGATCAGTGATGCCTGAGTGTTGTGGCCCCGGAGGGTAATGGTGGCTTGGGATGATGGCAGGAGAGGGGACTCCTGTGGGAGACAGAAAAGAAACCCCGGGTAGGTGGGATTGCATGCTTTGTTCCCAGAAGGCCTAAGACTTTTCTCTTCCCTTCCTTGCTGCTTTTCTCCCTCTTGGGTCCAAAGCAGTTCCTGGCAACTTGGCCCCATGGGAGTGGGAAAGTCTGGGTGTGGCTGTGTTTCGAAGGCACAGCTGATGAACATTCTCCATTTTCTGTGATGCTTTCTTCACAAGCCCCACTGTCCTTCCAGAACATTTGGAATTTGAGCCATGCCTGCATAGGACAGCTCTGAGGATACAGGAGATCTAGGTTCGTTCCCCTGGTGGGAGTTGGCATTTGTAAGAACAATTGTTGAACTTTTGTTTGTTTGGATTGAAACCTTTCGGTAACCTCTAAAACCGGTTAGCCTACATCAGGCATGTTTGACCGTAACTTGGGAAATAAAAAGGCCCAGGGTCACTTGGTTAGTTGTCGTGGGGGAGAAGACCGGCTATACAGTGGAATGGTCGGCCTCTGATGATCCTGCCCACACGGCTGTGAGAAAGAATAGAGAGGGAAGGGCAGCTGAACAGTTAGGGAACGGGGTCTGGAGAGACGGCTCAGTGGTTAAGAGCACAGGCTGCTCTTCCAGAGGACCCAGGTTCAATTCCCATCACCCACATGGCAGCTCGTAACTGTCTGTTATCCAGCTCATAGGGATCTGAGGTCCTCATACAGACACAAATGCAGGCAAAAGACCAATGCATATAAGATAAAATAAGTCGTTAAAAAAAAAAGCAGGTTTAAGTTACTTTTCTGTTGCTGTGACAGAAAAGGTGATTCTTAAAAAAGAAGGTGTTTAAGAGGGCTTATGCTTTCAAAGGGTTAGAGAGTGCATGATTGGAAGAGCAGTCACAGAACAACAGAAACAGCTGAGCCCTCACGTCTCAAACCCACAAGTAGGAGGCAGAGAGAACTAACTCAGAATTCGTGAGTCTTTTGAACCCTCAGAGCCCGCCCCCCCCACCCCGTGACATACTTACTCCAGCAACTCCACGCCTAATGCTTGCAAACAGCCACCCACTGGAAGCCAACTATTCAAACATGTGTGCCTATGGGGACTAGTTCAAGCCACTGTAGAGTACTTAGTGCCCCTGCTGAGGACCCAGGTTTGATTTCCAGCACCCACGTGGCCTCTCACCACTGTCTGTAACATCCAGGGGATCTGACATCCTCTTCTGACCTTGGCGGGCACCCGTCGTGTTAAGTGTCTACACACACACACACACACACACACACACACACACACACACACACACACACACAAACACACACAGGTGGCAGGCATGGCGGCCATACGCGTTAGGTAATAAAAACGAATTGGAGGATTGGAGGACGGTTTTCATCTGCAGGCAGCCCTGGATAAGCCAGGTAGCCACATAGCTGACAGGGTGTTTGTGGAAGGGTTTTGAGATGAGTGAGAGCGGCGACGGTCTTGTTGGTACTGTGGGCGTGTTACCAAGGAACCGGGAAGCTGATGGTGGAGTGGCCGCCGTCAAGGCTGCCTCTGTGATGATCATCGGTGTTAGCTTTTTGGGATTGAGTTTTTGAAGGCCCCACTGTCTTGGCAGCAGAGACAGACAGTTGAGCCGAGCCCCAGCAGTGGAGGTTGGCTTGCAAGACAGAGGGATGAGAATTCAGGGTGGGGGGTGGGTATAGAAGAACACTGGACTGGAAGCTGTTCACATGAAGCCTGGTGTGGGAAGCATCCTTGGAGGAAAGGGACGTGTAACGGGGGCAGGGCCAGTGTTAAGGGACGAGAGCTTGCTGTGTCCACCGCAAAGGGCACAGTTATTTTTAGGAACTAGGTGGACAAGGCATGCCTCTGTTGAAATCTCCAGTGAGTGCCCACCGCTTGTCCAGCCAGTTCTGGAGGCACAGA